ATGGAGGGAAATTCCAAAAGAATGAGCTAAAACTGCTATATGTGGCTGTCTCTGTGGAAAGAAATGAAAAAGAGGATTCCTTCTTTTTTATCATAGATTTTATAAATTATAAAACTACTTCACACTTTAAATTATGTACACTAGGGGCATCCAGCTGGCTCAGTCAGAAGATCCTGGGGTCATGACTTCAAACCCCCTTATTTTAAGTAATCTCTTCTGATTACTTAATCGGAAGAGATTACTTAAAATTTTAAAATTTTAATACATAAAGTACACTGATTTTACATACACACACATATACATATATACATGCACGCACGCACACACACACACATATTCAGAACCCAACCTCTTACCCACTAAACTTGTGTTTTTCAAATTATAAATTTATAACCCATTAGTGGGTTGTGAAATTAATTCAGTAAATCAACCATCACTTCTAAAATGAATTAGAACAGGGGCACCTGGGTGGCTCAGTCATTAAGCGTTTACCTTCAGCTCAGGTCATGATCCCAGGGTCCTGGGATCGAGCCCCGCATCGGGGCTCCCTGCTCAGCGGGAAGCCTGCTTCTCCCTCTCCCACTCCCCCTGCTTGTGTTCCCTCTCTCTGTGTGTCTCTGTCAAATAAATAAATAAAATCTTTAAAAAATAAATAAAATAAAATAAAATGAAGTAGAACAGAGAGGGATAGGAAGTAATAGATGCACTGCACATAGTAAATTTTTTCATGAACCTCCATTCATGCACGCACACACACACAGTCCATGATGTGTATTTTTAACTGTGGAATGTGAACAAAATAATTTTTAAATCACTAATCTACACTGCATTAGAATTACTTTTAGTTTTGGTTTTAAAAAAAGTAAGAGATTTCAATCTACCTTTATTTTAAAACAAAGGCATGGCAAACGCTGACAGCTAATGAAAATATTCCATTAAAATACTCTTTAAAATACCACTATTATCATGCATGAAGAATGATCACTCTTATATTAATGAAATCTAAATGCTCTGCTCTCTTACAACCGACTATAATATTTGAGCTAGAGAGAAATATAACAACACGGAAAACAGAAGAGAATTCAAAGTCACCCAAATAATTTTATAATGTGGAATATTACTGATTCTCAGGTGATCTATTTTTTAAATTTCACATAACTTCCGCTAATTTCTAAATTTCTGGTCTACAAAGATATCTGAACAGAAGGAGCCATCCCAGGCACCTTTGGAATAGCAAGTGAAGCCAACTTGGAAAAAAAGTTGCAACATAAAATACATAAACAAGAAAACATATACATAGTGGACCTGGAAAGGTAGCTTTCTTCCACTGACCTTCAAGGATACACTTTACAAGCTACACTGCAGTGTGGAAAAATTGAGCAAGAAGCTAAAACTTTGATGCTCTTTTACTAAGAGCCTAAATTAAGCCCATTTTTCTTTTAACCTAGCTAAGGTACATATGCACATTGCTTTAAATGCTTACCCAACAATTCATTTTACATAAAATAACAAAAACTTCTATAGAAACAAGTTCCATTACACTCTCTTCGTGATAAAGCTTCACTTCCTAAAAGTTATAAAAATCAAATTCATAAGCCATCCATCTATATTTTTAAAACCACCACTACCATCCAAAGTAGATGTAAAAAAGAACAAATATATGGGTATTTAAAGACAGAAAAGATATTTGCTGAAATACACATAAACACTATATTCATGTGCATGTATGTGTGTTTGTGTGTTTCTGAAAATATACATTGTTTTTGGAAAGACGAGGGAATGGGAAGAGTAGGGAGAGACAAGAGGGCAAAAGAGGACTTTATGTATCTGTTCATACTGTGGTTTTTGAACTGTTACCTATTTGGGCAAATCAGGGGTTCTCATTCTCGTCCCCCCTCCTGAATTGCCTTGCTTCTGCATCCTATCCCATGCACTTCCACAACCCCTACTTGGTACCCTCATCACACTAGGAAACCTACTGAGTGCAGACATTTGCTGAGCGCCTGCTATATACAGACCAGCTGCTATTCCGGGCATGGGCCACAAAGGTAGGATAAGGTACCTGCCTTCAGGGAGCTTGCAACCTCAGAGGAAAACAGAAGAGGAAACAGGTCATTTCCAAATAATATGGTACATATAATGGCAGAAGTATAATCTAACATAACCTACTGCATTGTATTTCAACTATTTTTCCCTCTCTCTTCCCACATCTCTCAAAGGTGCAAACCTCTGACACAGGCGCTAGGCCCACAGTGATCTTTGGATCCTGTGCTGAGAAAGGATCCCATATGATGTAAACTTCAGAAATATCTCCGGAATAGTAAATCAACAGTATTTTAAGAAACATGTTCATATATGTCTTAATGCTTCAAAATGGTGATTGATATATATGCCAACTATTAACCTGGAGCCAACTATTAACCTGGACCCCTGTGGTGTATTATAATCTTAGAATTTCAAAACAAGTATCTTTAACCTCAGAAGCCCTATGATCTTTCAGTCCTTAACATGTAGTCTTGGCTTTTATTTCATAAAGGGGGGAAATCATGAAAGCTAAGCCTACCTGTTTCTTCCCCTGGAAATCAAAGTATCCTTGCTTGTTTTTACTGGTAAGACGGAAAACTTTCACCCACTAATTTAAAATTTCTATTCATAGTTAATACATTAGTAATTTCTTGCAATTTTCAGGAAAATAATAATTCTCACTTTGACACAGGTTTGCCAATATTATTTAAAGACTTCTTAGAGTTCAAGCCTTGAACTTCTAGGTAAGAAAAAAAATATTCTCACCTTTCCCTGAGCTCTATCCCAAAATAAATGATAGAAATGAATTGCAAACATAACATGAAGCATTGTTGTAATTAATCAACCCAGAGCCCAAGGGAAGAATCATTTCTATTTTTAAATACACTGCTGCTTTAAGGGAAAAACCTGGTGGAGAAATATGAAACCGGGCTACATAATGAAAATCAAAACGCATTTGGTGTCTCCATCCTTGCAAAGACAGTAATCCTAACCTACAAGCAGCACTGCTGGATAGACTCCACTCAAGTTTTCTGTAAACTGAGCGACCAGTACCCAGGTAGAAGCCCACAGAAAGGCTCCCTCCACCAAAGAATCCTGTCTGTCAGGGGGACAAAACAAGAGAACTCCCATGCTTCAATGCTATTCTTAGTTTCAGATAAGGGGCTATTCCAATAAGCCAGCAGATGGATAAATCCCCAAGTCACCCTACAAGTCTTTATTTAAAAGATCCTGATTCGTAACTGCAGTGGTGGCCCTAAAAATGATCAACGAATTATTTAGCATTTCTAACCACCTATCTACAGTTATCATTTCTATCCAGGTTCCACAAAATTAAATGTTTCTCTCCACAAACCGGAAAGCTTCATTTCATTAAACAGTAAGCTAACTGCAGCACTCCCTATGGTTAAGAGTGACAAGGAGCAGGTGCCAAACCAGCAAGGAAAAACAGAAGCAGTGGCTACATTAACAGGAGCTCATATTCTACCTGTTTCCCAGGCTGCTTTGAAGAATCTGGCCCAGCAGAATTTGCAGAGGAAGCAATAAAAAAATAACCAGTTTCAGAAAAACTGTTGATGATGTGGACCTCTAATTTAACCTGTAAATACTGAAATTTACTCAGCTCACTAGCACCATGAAATATACAACTACACCACTAGAAATCTATCTAAAATACTGTAACTCTTTAAAATGTATCTAAAAATATTATCCAAGGATACATCTATTACAGAAAAGCATTTAACACAACATTTTAAATATAACTTTAGCTATTTACTATCACCCTATCTGCTATAGGTAGCAGAATGTTTGCAAACTAAATAAAAATTTCCACCCTCTGCACAAAAAGCAAATAACTCCCAATCTTACCTCCTGACAACTTCTTCCCCCAAATTTAGCAAGATTGTGCCTGAACACCACATGATTATAGAAGAGAGGCAGCTGCGTCCTTTAGCAATAAAATAACCCTACTTCAGTCTCTATTCAGTGAAAAAATCTCCCAAGAGCAAAAAATCACTAAATTGTAGTGCATCAATCAACAGGTGACTTTTAGAAACACACTCATACTCATGTCCCAGAAGAATTAATTCTGTCAAATCTGCCGGGTTTTTTTTTTTTCCTTTTCTATTTTTACAAGCTACTGCATTGCTATACTGAATGAATTCCAACCATTTTCTTCTCAGGGGCTTACCAGAAAAATGCCAAATATTCAAATTATTTTAAGGCATTTTCCCATACTGCTGCGTGGAATAGAGCAGAATTAATAAGGATCCAAGAGTTACCACTTTTCAAATGCAAATATGTTGCCATCTAGTAAATGCAGACCCTTTTTAAACATCCCCCCAGTGTCTACACAGCTCAGGGCACCACTTTTGTTTCCTTGAAAATCAAAATTCGCGCATTACATTCAGGCATTATCTCGACCCAGCACCAACAAAATAATAGATTTTAAATGGTCCACGCCTGAGCCTGCATCATACAATACTGTTCTGCTTTATTATGAGGGTTCCCCCCCCATTTTACAAAGTCCCTAAACAATTCCGCCAAATAAAGCCAACTGTGCAGTGGTAGAAAAAAACGAGGGGCATTGGGTTCCACGAAAACAAGGCCTTGGGATGGTCCCTTGCCCGCCTCAGGCCTCAGTTTTCTTATCTGTAAAATGTGGGACTGCTCGTCTCTGGGGTCCCATCCGGCCCCCTCCCTCCGGGTGCCCCGAAGCCGGCCAGGTTTTACGCGGCGGACCGGTGCCGGCTGTGGCCCGGGGGCCCGGGCTGATGCCGCTCTAGATGGGAGGGGACAAGGAGGGGGGCAGCGGGAGGAGAGGAACTTGGACTTGCCACAGCTTCAGACTGGAGCGTGCGACAAACTTGAAGCCGTCCTCCTAACAATAGGGAAGAGCACTCCCATTTTCCGGGCTCAAACTTGCCGGGGACTGCGGGGTGGGCTCCTCCTGCCCGCCCTCTCGGCGCCCGCTTTACCTTTCTCCCTGTTTGGTGTTAGAAGGAGGAGGGTGCAGGACCGTTTGATTCCCTTCCATCTCCACCACGCACTTGGTGTTCAGTTCCAGTTCTGAAAGCAGAAGGGAAGAGGGCCGTTGCCGAGCCGAGCATCCGCGCCCCCAGCCCCTTGGGCGCGGGGCTCACCCGGGGGGGGGGGGGGCGGCCGAGCCGGGAGCCCGGAGCCGCGCGCCGGGGGCTCCGCAGCTAGTGCGGCGCCGCCTCCGCCCGGGCCCCGCGGCCCCGCCGCGTTCTCGCCGCCCCGGCCCCGCGGCCCCGCACTTTGCAAAGTTGCCCCCGCCCTCGGCCCGACCCCAGATAAAAACGAGCGGAAAGCTCCTCACCTCGCCGGTTCATGGGCCGGACCCGGACGGCAACTTTTACCTTGGTATCCGACATGTTGGCGGCGCCCGCTCGGTCCGAGGCGGCCCCTCACGCGCCGCGCCGCCGCC